TGTTTATAACGATTTTGCCTGACTGCTTGAACCCACGCCGCTTGAACCAGCTACTTTGTTCTGAAGTCTTAACAATCCTTGGACTCACGTGAGAGATAGTCACGTAGTCATGTCAAGGGTCTGGAACTAGTATTGATAGAATAATTAATGTAAACAGTGATTTGTATAGCATTCATTATTGTGTCAAGCAGTATTGCTTTTGATTAATTCAAGTTAGTTGCTCTCAGTGGAGGGTCTGGATTTTCTGACCGGACTGCAGATTGCATGTAAAGCAACATATGGAAGGTTCCTACTCGTGGAAAATCTTTTCAGCTTTGATACATCACACAGTTACAAAAGGTGCATGGTCAAAAGAGATGATCAATGTTGGAAGCACAAAATCAGATACTGTTGCTTTCGAATTGTTTGTCGGTTCAAAATAAAATAATATTTAGTATTGGAAAATCTGACAAAAAGCTGGAAGACCTACAAGGCAAGGGAAGTAGTAATTTAAACACCTAGGTGGAGAGAGNAATAAGCGCTGGTGGTTACGGTATTATTTCTCAAGATCACAAGCTTAGTATGGAACTCACATTTTCGTCTGCATTATTTTGTTTGCCTTTCTCAACATCGCCTTCTGAAGCCATGCTTGTGAATGTAAGAGGACTGAAAGGTGTACCTTCTGCTTGCACTGTTTATAAGGATTTTGCCTGACTGCTTGAACCCACGCCACTTGAACCAGCTACTTAGTTCTGTAGTCTTCACAATCCTTGGACCCATGTGAGAGATTGGTAGAATAATTAATAAGACTGTTGGTAGAATAATTAATGTAAACAGCGATTTGTATAGCATTCATTATTGTGTCAAGCAGTATTGCTTTTGATTAATTCAAGTCAGTTGCTCTCAGTGAAGGGTCTGGATTTTCTGACTGGACTGCAGATTGCATGTAAAGCAACATATGGAAGGTTCCTACTCGTGGAAAATCTTTTCAGCTTTGATACATCACACAGTTACAAAAGGTGCATGGTCGAAAGAGGTGATCAATGTTGGAAGCACAAAATCAGATACTGTTGCTTTCGAATTGTTTGTTGATTCAAAATAAAATAATATTTAGTATTGGAAAATCTGACAAAAAGCTGGAAGACCTACAAGGCAAGGGAAGTAGTAATTTAAACACCTAGGTGGAGAGAGGCACTGTGAGAGTAAAGTGTCTTGCCCAAGAAAACAATGCGTCTATACATTTTCATTGCAGTTCATGAGATGCAGCCTTGGTAACATTGTTTCTGTACTCCCTGCACAATAGCATCTTGTGTAACATTGTCTACTGTTCCGTTCCATCACTTTGAAAAATGCGTTCACTCAACTCTGCCGGTATCCAAGCCAGCCATGAACCACTTTGTGTAACAGGTTGATAAGCAGTACCACAATGCAAATGCAAAAGCCAGTATAATAATAAAAGGCAGCAGTATGATGTAGCACAAAATCAAACAAATAACACATGGACATGATTTTCCTCGTGGCGAGTACCACATGTCTGGAGCACAAATTCCTTTTGATTTCTCGTTCTCCTTAGCCTCATCTTTAAACTCTTGCACCTAAATTAAAAGGAAAAAAAAA